ATATGAATTGTTTGACATCCAGTACCATGATATGAATCATATGACATCCAGTATCAGATATGAATCATATGACATCCAGTACCATGATATGAATCATATGACATCCAGTACCATGATATGAATCATATGACATACAGTACCATGATATGAATCATATGACATCCAGTACCATGATATGAATCATATGACATCCAGTATCAGATATGAATCATATGACATCCAGTACCATGATATAAATCATATGACATACAGTACCATGATATGAATCATATGACATACAGTATCATGATATGAATCATATGACATCCAGTACCATGATATGAATCATATGACATCCAGTACCATGATATGAATCATATGACATCCAGTACCATGATATGAATCATATGACATACAGTACCATGATATGAATCATATGACATACAGTATCATGATATGAATCATATGACATCCAGTACCATGATATGAATCATATGACATCCAGTACCATGATATGAATCATGACATACAGTACCATGATATGAATCATATGACATCCAGTACCATGATATGAATCATATGACATCCAGTACCATGATATGAATCATATGACATCCAGTATCAGATATGAATCATATGACATCCAGTACCATGATATGAATCATATGACATCCAGTACCATGATATAAATCATATGACATCCAGTACCATGATATGAATCATATGACATCCAGTACCATGATATGAATCATATGACATACAGTACCATGATATGAATCATATGACATCCAGTACCATGATATGAATCATATGACATCCAGTACCATGATATAAATCATATGACATATAGTACCATGATATGAATCATATGACATCCAGTACCATGATATGAATCATATGACATCCAGTACCATGATATGAATCATATGACATGCAAGCAGGTGTTGCACAGCTCTTATTTGTGTAGGATTCCATCATGAAGGATGAGAAGATTATCTGGAATGCGTATATAATTTTTTGCATAAATTGGCAGCCTTTTAGCAAGAATAATGAACATTAGGCTCGGGTGAAGCCTTCAATTTAAATAAACTACAGTGAAATACAAAAGCCGGTGTAGCTTGTAGCATTGGTTTTTTTGTAAGTGATGAAAGATTTATTCAAGCAAGCTTTTGCATTGATGCAATAAAATCAGTTGAAGGGTCATAATTATATTTCATAGACATATGATCAGCTAAATTGAGTACAAAAATATAATATTTTGCTGATAAACATTTTTTTTGATCACGGAAATTGTAAAGATCAAGTGCTAGCTTCCATGCAATGCTTCTCTGCTTCATTACAAGTGATTAAGTAATTATAAACACTTTGGTAGTGAATCAAAACCTCACAAGTATTAATTCTTTCAATTTTTTTTAAAGATTATTTAGTTTTAGTTCTTTTTTTAAAAAATCATTTGTCTCTAAGTTTTTATTTCATTGTTTAAATTGAGCTCTTTTGCATTAAACTGAAACAAAAACATCCAAAGTTGTTAATTATTATTTTAGTAATCTCTTTAATAATATATAAATTTTTAGCCCTTAAAAAGTCTTCCGTCGGTGTTCTCTATCTTGTAGCTCTGCCGCGGTACGTAGTTCTTTTTATGCTCCATCGGAAATTGCCTAAACCCGTACATTTCTGATAGCTCTTTGGCGAAGTCCATGAGGGTAGTGAGAGGACACTCATGACATAGCTTGGCATAGTGTTGAGTGAGAATGCGCTTTGCAAACAGCCATTGTTGCTGGCTAGGTTTGGTAATACTTAAATGTTCTCCATTTCATGTATGTTACAGAACTAACAAAATTTTGGGCCTTTTTGGTGGGGCTGGTTCAATGTTTTCACTAGTCAAAGTTTTTCATAGCGTTGCATAAGTTCTTCCTCATCCTCTGTATCATCGACCTTTGGTTCTACATCGTTATCTGAGTTGTGTTCGTCTCCGCTCTGTACCTCATCCAAGTCCTGTTGTAGCTGAGGTGTCATCTCAGTTTCTACTGTATCCTCCAAATTGCTTGGGTCCTTTTGAGCTTCTACGTCCTTCATAATAATCTGCCGAGAAATGGTCTGGATGGATGTTGTAGTACTAAGCATTTGGGGAACCTGTATCTGGTGTAGGTCTCTAGATATGTTGCCAAAATCACTAGCCGGTGTACAGAAGTGGTTAGCTACCATATTTTTCGCAGGTTTTCTTCTCCCAGTACGTTTCTTATTGCTCTTCTTTTTTGCGATACCATAGTGTCCTACTTTGATATTCAATTTTTCACCCCCAACAAGATGTCTTTGAAGCAGGCATTAGCATCTCCTTGACTGCATAATTGTAAGTAGAAGAGATGGTTTGCAAAGATTGATGAAGGCCATGAGAAGTGCAGAATGCTTGACTGACCACAGGTTTATAGTCTCCAGGTTCAAGATCTATATTCAGCCTAGCAGATGACCATTGCAAAAGAACTGGAGAATGTGCAACATGCATTTGTCAAAGAAATTTTCAGCCAACTAGGTATGTACTTTCGACATGAACTTCGGGAATGTCAAGGAAAAGTGGGCATCTTTCAGAAACTCCCAGTGCTTAACTGCATCAAATCAGTCCCAAGGTAAACATCAAGAATGGTTTGATGAGAACAATTCTGCTATACACATTTATGAATCAGAAACAAGTGCTACTAAAGGCCTGTTTAGAATACGGGCCCTCATCATCGAAGAAGACAGCCTTCACCAACATAAAAAGGATTGTCCACTGAAAACTCCGAGATGCAAGACTCATGGCTGAGCAATAAGGCAGATGAGATTCATTCATGCACAGAATACTGACATGAAGAACCTCTATGATGTTCTGAAGACAATGTACGGGCCACATTCATCAGGAACAACTGGACTTCTAAGTGCTGACAACACCACACTGCTCTCAAAGAAAGGATACTTCAAATATGGGCAGAACACTTTAACAGCATCCTCAATCAACAATCACCTACCACTGAGGAGGCAACTGATCGATTGTCCCAAGTAGAAACTTGCCGAACCTGCAATGCTGACCGAAACTGAATCAGCGATTTACTTGCTGCAAACTGGCAACGCACCTTGACCAAGCGTTTACAAAGCTGAAAGTTCTCACAAGGCACAGAAACTGACTAAACTCGTCAAATCAAACTATACCACAGAGGTACAGGTATATATTTCTTATGGACTTGTACAAGAGCAAAGGCAGCAGACAATCATGCGACAACCATCTTGATATCTCCTATCTGTAATAGTACACAAATTTCTTGTTTGAATCGCCTTGTGCATCGCATCGATCAAGTGCTCCTGCCTGTTAGTCAGTCTGGCCTCTGGAAGGGACAAGTGACCACAGAAATGTTGTGTGTAGCTCATCAATTGCAGTATAAATACCGTGAACAAAATTCCTACATCTATACGACATTCATCGACGTGACAAAAGCATCTGAACCATTCACAGTCATCAATGGAATTAACCAAGGCTATGTGTTTTTCTCCAACCTTCTTTAGCATATGTTCACTACAATGCCTACTGATGCCTTCCGTGACTATGACACTAGGATCGACATCAAATACCGAAATGACAACAACCTTATCAATAGTAAAATTTGCGGAAAAATGTTCCCTGAATGCCAGATAATGGTCTGACGTGCAAAATAATATGGACCATTTTTTCTTTAGTTTGTGAATAATTCTGTCTCAAAATCAATATCAAGAAGACAGGTGATACACCATTCTGCACCAGGAACGCATTGTGTAAACACTACCGTCACAATGAATGACCAAACTCTCCTGGTAGTGGAAACGTTCATCAATCTCGACAGTACACTGTTATCTGCAGTCCACGTCGATAATGAAATCAGTTTTGTTAAAGCAAGCGTGGCCTTCGGCAGACTACATGCAAATGTATGGGAGCGCAGAGGCATTAATATACAAACAAAACTGAAGGTCCACAAAGACACTGATGCCCAAACCTGTTATATGCATGTGAAAAATGGACTGTGTACATACACCATGCTAAGAAGCTGGATCATTTTTACATAGGCAACCTAAGGAAATGTGAGGATAAGATTGGCAGAACAGGGTCAAAGACACTGAGGTTCTTATACGTGTAGGCATTTCAAGCATCAACACTCTGATGATGAAATCATAGACGAGATGTGCAGACCACGTCCCCTGGATGTTTGAAGAGAGGCTACCAAATAAGGGAAAGCAACCTCAAGGTGATTCGGTTAGAAAAATGCACCACTGATTCCTTTCAATCAGCCTTGAAAAATTTCATAATTGCATTTGAGAAAATGTTTCACAAGAAAACATACCTGGCGCAATCTCATCCATACTGGAGTTGTAGACTTTACACTAAGGATAATTGCAGAGATAGTGCAGAAGTGCGTGCAACGTAATCTGAGAAATGCAGGACATATCAATTGATAAAGCAAACCTAAGCGGTATACCCTGTCTAGTGTACCAGAGACAGTTTAGAGTACAAATTAGACTGATCAGCCACTCGCGTACTCACAGAAACAAAACCAGTTAGCGATGTCATGATAATCTTATATATATATATATATATATATATATATATATATATATATATATATATATATATATATATATATATATATATATATATATATATATACACACACACACACACAGCCTCCATTGTGAAAATCATGGTATCGCTGTTTTTCTTTAATGGGTTTTGCCATAGATATGTAGGTTGTCACATTATTTAAGTGAAAGTCATTTGAAGAAGTTTAGTTGCTTCTAAATGAGAGTAGTGCTAATATGACATCCAAAATGTCCGGATGGTCATAGTTACATTGGCTTTTCACTAATATTTAGTTGATCCTCAACGTAATTGGTGCCGGTTAGACCTCGGATATGTTTGCTATCTTGAAAAATTTCTTGTCGCTGCTTCTCCATAATTAATGGTATATTGATATAGGGATTTCAAGAAAAGATTTCTTTTGATAAGTATTTGCTACGAAATGGACTGCTGCGGTGGCCTAAAAGGTTTTAGTGTCTCCCTTGGATGGGGTAGATCGCGGGTTCAAGCCCCGGTCGAGTCATACCAAAGATATGTAAAAATGGTACTAACAGCTGTCTGATTTGGCGCTCAGCGTTAAGATGATAAGTTTGGGACTGGTCATATTGGTGTCAGAATAATGTGACTGAGTGGAACATGCTGCTAAATGTCTTCAACATTATCTCCCGGTGCTTTGCATCACTATAAACTGTCACACTGCAGACATCGTAACGATATGACTAAAATAAGATTTAAAACTACATCAAACATGTAAATCACACACACACACACACAAATGAAAATAGTACTGAGAGAGGTCCAATATGGCTGCAATAGTGGCTATCTTAGGTCTTCAAATTACTTTTCCGCAGTGTATGGTCGTTTCGATGTGGGGGTTTTCACTTGAAGATGTATTTAATACTATATAAATCTGGTACCTATCAGATCACTCAGCCGCCAGGATTGTGCTTATCTTGAAAATCTTGTTGCTTATCCGACTGTATAAGTCTCTCAGCCGAAATGAAAATGCTTATGATCAGTTAAAAGATGTTCATAACGACTTCAATTTAACGCTAAAATAATTCTCACGATATGTTGTTGGTCCTAAATATAAACAAAAGGTTTGAACATCCAAGGCCGCAACACTTTCTATTGTGTTTATGGCTGTACAGACTTTTTCACCAAAAAAAGGAACTTCCTTGCAATTTGTAGTAGTTCAGTATTAAAATGATGCTGATCCAATCTGCAAAATAGTTTTAAAAAATTATTAATCGGAACATCGCTTGGTCATCTCGATCAAATCGAGCTATAACCCATAGTGAAGTTGTAGAAATACACATAAATTATATTTGTTCAGAGACATTAACATGTCATATATGTATAATTAAGGTGGTTCGCCCTCGATGGAATGCTCACTTATGTTGCGTCAGAAAAATAGTTACAAATATAGTTCTCATACCCGCCAATTACATTTGAGGTTTCTTTCTCGAGTTAACGGAAACGATCGAGTGTTTTGATTGCACCTGAACGCATGGTGGTATCGACATGGGGTTTTCACTGAATGCAAAATGCAGGTGATTTCGAATTAACTTGCAGCACTGTGCCATAATGGAGCTCACTGTCCCATGGTGGGGCCTCACTGTTCCATGGTGGGGCCTTGACAAAATATTTTTATCGCTGCTCCTCATGAACGATTGGCATCGTTATCAGATCATTGGTAATGCAGATCCTGTTGCATGTATTTGGTTCTGAACGAAACTGGTATCGATCAAGCTGCTAACACATACCTACCTATGCGAAAGGATTTAAAAAACTATCGTTACATTGATATTTTATATTTTCTTACATACTTCTGACAATGTTGTGATTTGTTTAGGTGAGAAAGATAAACCTATATCTATCCATAGTTGCACAATTGCACACATTTTAAAAGGAATGTTTCGGTATTTCTCATAACTGAGAAAATAGAAAACTAATTTTCTTCAGAGTTCACACAACATTGTAGGATATTCTAAACAGTATCTTATTCCTTTCTTTCTGCTAGTTGTTTAGCTAAAAAAAAGCCATTGTTGTCAATCCAGCAATAAGAAAAATCTTAATTTATGGATGATAATTGGAGATATTTTGTGAAGACGGGACCATGATAGCTAAGACCTGACCCCGTAGTCACGAAACATATAGACAATAAAATTCAAACAAACACCTTTAATTTCAGAATATTATAGATAATAAATTGTGATGACTGGATCGAATTCGATGCTTTCAGTACTGAAGCAGGTTAGTGTCATGGTCGCGTTTCTAGTCTGAACTGGAAATACATTTATGCTCATGCTAATATTTGAGATGCGTTGAAATGACCGTGCCATGTATGTTAATTGTATATATAAGTTACCATATTCACCAGACATTGGTTACTAACCATATAAAGCAGTAAATAAATTCCTAAATTTGACTTTTCACTAGTATATTAAACATTTAAACTAGATGTGCTTAGATTTCACTTGCGCTTTGTATTATGCAACACCCAAAAAATGTTTCAAAGTGTCAACATGTGGTTAATATTTTGTGGGGTTTCTTATTGTTGTGCTCTAAACAGATTCATTTTCATTACCAAGGATTGATGACTGTATTGATAAATTGAAAATGGCAAGTATGTCACCAAATTTGACCTTCTGAAAAGATTTTGGCTAATTATACTAACGGAAAGGACAACGTAAATTTCGCCATATGTTACTGGATGGTCTCAAATATATTAAGTAATTCCGTTCGGAATGAAGGCTGGCCTAAGGACTTTTCAACGCTTGATGAATATGATTACCTGTGGTCTAGATAATTGTGATGCTTACATCGATGATGTCATCATCTACAACGACACCTAGGAAGAACATCTAGCCACGATTTGAAAATTATTTGAAAGACTCCATGATGTAAATTTGATAATCAATTTATCTAAAAGTGAGTTTTTCCATGTTTGTGCATGTTTTCTAGGACATATTGCGGGACATTGTCAAGTTCAACCTATAGATGCTAAGGTCAAGACCATCTCTGAATTCCCTGTGCATGTCAGTAAAAAACAACTGATGCGATTTTTGGGTATAGCCGGACACTATCGAAAGTTTTGTTCCAATTTGTTTAATATTGCTGAACCTCTGACAAACATTTTAAGTAAGAAAAAAACGTGTTTCTTTGGATTGAAAAATGCTATGAGGCTTTCGATAGGTTAAAAAGTGCGCCGGTTCTTACAGCTCCAAATTTCAATTTGTTTTCTAAATTAAATTGTTGGTGCAAGTGATGTCGAGGATGGATCAGTATTAATTCAAGAAGATAGAAATGGTGTTGATCACCTTGTGTGTTATTTCTCTAAGAAGTAAGATAAGCACCAAAAAAATTTCTCAACAATCGAGAAGGAATGTCTAGCTTTAATAGTGGCATTACATCATTTTGAAGATTTAATTACATTAGCTCAGCTCCCTCTCATGTTGTTGTGTTTAGTGATCACAACTCCCTTGGTTTCATCGACAAGATGAAAAATTAAAACCAAAGATTATTATGGTGGAGTTTGGTTTTACAATAATTTAATCTTGACTTATGGCACATCAAAGGAAAACAATTTGATTGCAGATACACTTTCCAGTGTATAGAAATATTATTTCATGTATACTTTGTATCATTCATAAGAGTTTTCCTATCTAATTTTATCTTACATAGTGTATAATTTACATATGGTAAAAAGAATGCTTTATTACATAATCTTTCTATATTCTTGAGATTGTAAGGTCTGTGTAATTAAATTGATTGTGCGTTAGTTTAAAAAAATATTCTAATTTTGTTTCATTACATTTTATTGTAACGATTATTTTCACGAAATTCGATTTTTTTTCAGTAAGTTCAGTTTGTATAGAACGCAAGAGCTATTATATTAGCACTCTGTGTGTATGTGTGTATGTGTGACTTTATTTTTAATGTAGCTTTACCAATTGTTCAGTCATATAGCTACGATGCCTGCAGTGTGGCAGTTTATAGTCTTTTTATGTCTAAGACTGGGGCATCATGCTGCAAACATGTAGCATGATGTCCCACCCAGTCACATTACCTGACACCAGGCCGACCAGTCCTTACACTAATCTTTTAATACTGAGCTACAAGCGAGGCAGCTTTTACTAACATTTTTAAGTTTTGGTATAATTCGGCTGAGGATCGAACCCACAACATCCCGCATCCGAGGCGGACGCTCTAACCAACTAGACCACCGAAGCGGTAAAGAGTGCAGCAAAAGGTAAATGAAAAACTACATCAGTGTTATGGAAATCTAGAAATAAATTCCTTCCATATACTTACGAATCCGAGGTGGAAGATAAGGTGACATCCTTTCCTATTAAAGCGATATCACGGAATTGTGTGCTCACAAATACATTGATGCCATTCGTTTCTTTGCCTAGTACAGCGTTATACAGAGTGCCTGGTAATTTCGAAATATTGATTTATGTTCACCCATTAATGCAAACACAAAGCGCCGGCAAGAAGGGATGGTTATCACGAGTTCTTTTGCGTGGATCGGACCATATTCATATATTATTTATAGGAATTTAACATTAATCTCGTGTTATTTCCTTTCCTTCTTTCATGAACCTATCACTATGAACTCCTTGCCAATTAACCAATGTCTCAATAATTAAGTGGTTGTCATAAGCAGACAAGTTTTGCAATCGTTGTATGAAACAAAATGACAAGAATGCCCAGATCAGACCCATACAAGTGTTCAGTAAATAGCGTTTTCTGTCAACATAGCAATAAAAATTATTAAACTTATTTAATCAGCATCATCGATTTTTTTTTTAAATCGAGCACCAATGGAACATTTTGTTATGACTTGAAAATCATTGATTATATGAACTGGTCAGTTTTTTTTTAAACTTGTCTCAAATCTAGCTGCCGTTTATATTATGTTTTAAAGGTAATTCAGTATGTTCAGTTATGTGAATGGACATAAAACATCATAATCATAATTGCACATGGGTTGGAATTAAGTTATAAGAGCTTACACATTTCTTTCTGCTATATAAGATAGTTTTGTATGGCAGTAGAACTTAACAAATAACGCGACACATATGAAATAATTATTAGGAATACAGAGCAAGTAATGAAAAGCAAAACTAAAGGAACAAGAGGTGATGATAGAATGTTGATTATACCAAGATTGTTGTGCATTTATGTTCTTTATCAATAACAAATACTTATTTGCTCCAGTTATGAGTATAACCTTTTTCAAATGTTTTTTTCGTCAAAGAAATTCAACTTTATCGCCAATTTTAAATTTGTGTCTGCGTTACATGTTTTCGTTTGCTAATATTGTATCTGCGATCGAATCGTTTGGTGACATTTTAATGGTTCAATATTTCGTGTTATTATATACTCACTAACAATATTCTGTAAATTGTCAATATATTTATTTGTATATTTAGCTGTCAAATATTTATTAATTTTTATCGTGTAGTGTGCAATTGCATTGCTCGACGATGACGCTTTTACCTTCATTTCCAGTAACATAATTTTAATGTTAAAACCTGCTACAACTTTCTACTTTTATTAAAAATCTCTTCTCCGTGATCAGTCCAGATTCTATTTGGTTTTCTTTCTGTAGTTGTTATTATTTCTTTAAGCGCATCAGTCATCGATATCCATGCTTCATCCGAAATGGGTTTGCTAAACGCGTATTTGCTAAAAACATCTACAATATTAAAAAGATATCTCTTTGGAGAGCCATCAGCGCCAACGTTAAATTGAGCAAGATTTAACATATCAACTAAATTTATCACTCAAATGTCACCAACGGCATTTGCGACAAGTTTACATCGCGGAAACTGTTTTAGGTCAATGTAGCTCTACAGAAAGATCATCATATATATATATATTTACCGAGACCTAAAATTTATACTTTGCTCCAATTAAATCCTGAACCAGCCTTCGGTCAACACGTTCTCGCATATTTACAGGTTTTATTTCACTAAATTCGTCTAATATTACTTTATCGCAGCTCTGTTTATTTTGTTCGCTGTCTGAGCGTTCAATATCTTGGTAGCAGATAGCATGATGCATTGCTATTTCATCAACGTGATTGTAAGGTTCTTGTTCTGGCACCGGATTATCGTTTTTTTTTTTCAAGTTATTTATCAAGCGGATTATAAGGTCCAGTATATTTATAACCTGGCATTATCCAACCGCCTTTTGGTTTCGACAGTTTGCAAAAATTATTTACGTATAGCTGTACTTGTTCCAATTATTTTTCTGTTGTTGCATTTCTTGCAATACATAGCTTTACAAAAATTAATTGCAATCTCATCATTAGCATGAGAGGGTTGTTTGTCAAATTGCAAAATAAGATTTAAATAATCTGGATTTTTGGTCATTTGTTTAATGAACATTACACAATATTTTCCACAAGAGGAAGTTTCAACTGGTTGAATTTGATTAGACACAGAATTTATTACTTTGTTTTTACTCATATATTTGTTTCTGCGTCTTCGGTGGAATCCCGAACGTGTCATTATTAATTAGTCGTCTGCTAAAATACTCCCCGGGCAGCCCGTTCCGGCAAACTTGTTGCTGGCAAAATCATGCGTTTTCTTTTTCCACAGATTGCGCAAATGCTTTTCAGCATTATTCTATTAAGTTTTTTTCTTCTGTTTTTTTTTGTCTTTATTTTCTGTTTTAGTTTTACACTTAAGACAATTGGTTGACATTTTATATGAGTGAGTTTAGATATAATTAATTGCAAGCTTTAGGTAACTTTACAAAAATTAATTTCAATCTCATCATTAGCGTGAGATGGTTGTCAAATTGCAAATAAAACTTTCAAAAGATCTGGATCTTCGGTCATTTGTTTAATAAACTTTACGCAATAGTATCCATAAGCGGAAGTTCCCAGTGGTTGAATTTGATTAGACGAATAATTTATTAATTTTTTTTACTAATATATTTTTACTGTGCCATTGGTGGAGTCCCGAACGAATCGAAATAATTTTTGAAAATAGCTATCAAATGTGTGCCAGATTCGTCATTACAATCTTGTATATTTTTAACGCAGGAAGCTAGCGTCACTGGAGTCGCTGTATGTTCATCTTTAGAATAAATTCCGTGTAAATGTTTTAAGTTTTTTAGTTTATCAAGCATATTAAAATTACTTAACGCAGGCAACTTTATCTCCTTGTTTCTGGCAGCATTAGTCCTCGTCCTCGTCCTCGTCCTCGTCCTAACAGACCTGGCAGAAGACTTCCCGCCAATCCTGCTACTAATGGGGCTATGGGAAGAAATCCACCTTTTCGCTGTCTGTCTTTGTTTTTTTCGTCTTAGTCTTTTTTCGCACCGTTTTTCGTTTAGGCGTTATATTTATTCTTTAGAAAAACAAACTGCGATCGACAGTCATACGAAAATTTTCTTAATACCATTGCCACGGACAATACCATTTCCTTCGACTGCCTTTTTCGTTGCGCCAGATACTGCTTCAGCTGCTGCTGCTCATTGTAATATACATAACACTGTCAAAATTCTATGTAGCAATATTTTGGCTATTACAGATAGTGCCGGACCAAAGAAACCGCCTTGTTTTGACATCACAATTATTTGTGAAGCACTAAAATTTAAAACGAAAATGCTTTCTGCGATCGTATGTATTTACTTGATTTTTTGGTTAACAACAATTAACAACAACAATTTTGTTAATGTACCTTTGTTGTTAGGGATGACCTTTAATAAAACCTGCCTCTGTTTTGCAATAGCAGCTGCTAATGTTTTAGCCTGGACATCAGTTAAATATATTTCTTTTAAAATATCTTATATATTAAGGTTAGAGATTAAACTTGAAGTTCTTAAAACATTGGGTAAAGTGCAAATCACTATAATCTTGTACTGACATTTTATCTCCAACTGAGTCAACTGTAACAAATATGTGGCTTATTACTAACACATAGACGTATAATGGATCTGCTAGAAGTCCTCCTAGTGACCAAATAATTGCAATGTGCTGTCCGCAGTTCGCTTGCTATGTTTACTAACATCAAAATAAAATATTGGATAAAATGTACAAAATTCCTCTAATGATACCCAAATTTGATATCCTAATATATATATATATATATATATATATATATATATATATATATATATATATATATATATATATATATATATATATATATATATTAGTATATGTATATACACGGTGTAATTTTATTCCATCTCGCCATCATATCTATATGGTTTCAAGCTACTCGATCTCGTATTCCTATTTGAATCATAAGCAACATATCATAGTCTGTCAACATCTCTTATTCATTACTCTTTATCCTTAAATTTGTATCTTAACCAGTCCTTATGTGCTTCCAGAACGTGTAATGCCAAGTTTATAATTTCACATATTAACATTACCAAACTCTTCCAGAACGTGTAATGCCAAGTTTATAATTTCACATATTAACATTACCAAACTCTTCAAGAGCGTGTAATGCCAAGTTTATAATTTCACATATTAACATTACCAAACTCTTCAGGAACGTGTATTGCCAAGTTTATAATTTCACATATTAACATTACCAAACTCTTCCAGAACGTGTAATGCCAAGTTTCTAATTTCACATATTAACATTAACAAACTCTTCCAGATCGTGTAATGCCAAGTTTATATTTTCACATATTAACATTACCAAACTCTTCAGGAACGTGTAATACCAAGTTTACAATTTCACATATTAACATTACCAAACACTTCAGGAACGTCACACAGCATTTAATGATATTTTGCTGCATAAGACTATGGTCTCCACAAGTATTTGAAGTTCAACGCTTCCATGGCAACTTTAGTAAAAATTACTAATACATATGCCTGAATTGTTAATGGATGAATTGAAATCGCTGAATCTTTTACAATATAAATAAATGTTATTGTACTTCTGAGACACTTGCATTCACGATATTTGTTAACTCTTTCAGCGCATATCATTCACCGCTGAGGTCTTCTTTTAATTGCTCTCAATATTGTTTAATCAGACTAAAGCTATCTTCAAAACGTGTTTGTACTTTCAACTGTTATTTCCGTTCCTTCTTTCATGAACCTATCACTATTAACTCCTTGCCAATGACGCAATTTTTCAATAATAAGATGTGGTTGTCATAATCAGACATGTTTTGCAATCGTTGTATGTTGGGTCTCCATATGTGCTTCAAAATATTTCCTTTCTCACGATTGTGATGTGTATTTGAG